AACGAATGAAATTGAGCCATTTCAGTACAGATCAAACCAGTATTTTGTGCTGAATATGCAAATTAAAGCCATTACTAAAAATTTCGCAATAACTACTCGTACACATGGTATCAGAATGGTTTTTGGTGTCTATATACACATGCCTTCAGGGGTAAAGAATCAGATCAGGTTATTCGAGTAATGATCACAGCAACATTTGTATTGAATTATTAAGGCTATTAAAATAATATATTAAGTCTGCTATTACTGACAATCTTGATATCGTCAATATCTCCGTAACTACTGTACTTGATATAATGTACAGTAGTACATTAATATATATAATGTAAATAATTTTTGTGTCTATACACAGCTTTTAGTCTGTAAACAATCAGACTGAACTATTCCAGTATTAATCACACCAATATTTTCTGCAAAATGTGCATTGTTGATAATATCAGTAAGGACGCCCTGATAAAAGAACCACTTGTCTGTTATTGACGCATCTGGCTGCCAGCAAGGCTCACATAACGGGAGGGGTCTAATTCCGACCCATGTTCCATGCTAACGCACATGCCTTGGTATAGTTTATCTGACCCCAAACCTGTTCAACATTGGAAGACAATTCTAAGTTTACTAGTCTAGATGGCAGACGTCTTGTAGCATGAAACGCCGCTTGCGTATCATTGTAAACACTGGCTGTTGGTTAGCTCTGGCTCTTTTATCTGTGTTAATTGGGTATGAAGTCCTGCCGTCTGATGCTTAAGATCTTCCTCACGCATTAAATTCGCTATCAGAAGCATCCAGTGATTCCAGTCTCTTTTCTCGGCTGATTCCACATAGTAGGTTTCAAAGCCAAGCTGGTTGAAGGCTGCTGAGGCCTCTCCATGTCTACAGTCTAGCTCATTGTCCATCTGTCCTTTCGTTGTTGGTGGAACTCCCAAGGTAGGTGAAGTTCTCGCCACTTCCATTTGTTCTTGTCAATGGTCACACTTCTAAGTAGGAGCACGTGTCCTATCAGCATGCTAATTGCTTTTGGCCCTGATGCTGACCCCAATGCTGCATGCAGACGGACTATGTTGGTCACTAGGGGTTGGAGATCTCTGGTGTTTTCCGCTATGTCGCAGTGTCGTCTGCAAAGTCAAAGTCGGCAAACTTTGTCTCTGGAACCCCCTTTACCCCCCTTTTCTCATGTTGCTTCCCAAGTACCCAGTCGATAGCCACGGGAAAGAGGATCTGTGACAGGACACAACCTTGCAGGACCCGTCTTCAAACCATCCGCTGTATCCTTCACCCGTCCGTACACAACACTTTGAGTTTCGGAATATCTGTTTAACTGCATAGATAAGTTTACTTGGCAGTCCATAACTGTACATGATATTCCATAAAGAGGGACTTTGGATGCTATCAAACGCCTTGCAGAAGTCAATGAAGCTGCAAAGGAGGCTAGGCCTGGTTGCAAAGCTGGCCATGTGGACATCCATCTCACAACACAGTCACCCTCGGCTTTCAGCATCTCTGAAGTGATGCCATTCATGCCTGGTGACTTGTTATCATGAAGGGTCCTGACTTCAGCTTCGGAGATCTCAACAGGTAATGGGAGTAGGTGACTAATGCTACTGAGGTAGGGCTTGAGCGGTTTAAGACTTCTTTAAAAGTATTCTGCCCACCTGGCAAGCTTGTCCTTCCCCCTAAGACAGTGGTAGGGTCCCATCCTTCGCCTTAATGAGGACTGTGCACTTTTGAGCGTCCGCCGTCTATCTTTTTGGAAATCTGTTAAGCTTTGGTCCCAATTGAAAAAAAGGTCCCTGGTGGGTAGTTCCCGGGCTGTTTTTGACACTTTCATGCGTGGCCCCCGTGGGACACCCCGCGGCTACCGAGCTATTTTTTGGCCCGTCCGGGACTCAAGAAGAATTCAACTTCAAGAAGAATTGACTTAAATTCTACACGGGCCCCGCTGACATAAAATTCAGGACGTCAAGTTAGCGCTTTATTCTGCCTGTACATAGACGCAGGTAAGGCACAGGTGTGGGCTTATGAAGGGTCTAATATTTTTTTTGAACAGATTGTATCATTTTTTTAAACATTCCTATCAGTGTTCAGAGGCACACTGGCACCCATGCTGGTTAGTTTTTGCATAATTTGCATTAAATGTTGGTGTGATCAATACTGGGATGGTTTATTATGATTGTTTAGCCTTCAAACATGTGTATAGTATGTGTATTGTATCAAAATTATTTTGATACCATGAGATTTATTGAGATATTGACGAAAACCAGATCTTCAGTAATGGCGGCCTAAATTTGCAAATTAAGCACGAAATATCTACTTGATCTCCACTGAAATGGTCTAACCTCAATCGTTATCCCAAAAAACATGGGGAAAGACACCAAAGATATTATAATATCATATGTAGTTACTGAGATATTGACGAAAAACAGATTTTCAGCAATGGCCGCCCTAATTTGCATATTGCGCGGCCCAAATTTGCATATTTAGCAAAAAATAGTGGTTCTATCTTTACTGAAATGGCTTAATTTCATTCGTTATCCCTCAAAACATAGGGATAGACACAAAAATTATTCTGATACCATAAGTAGTTACTGAGATATTGACAAAAATTGGATTTTCAGTAATGGCCGGCCTAATTTGCATATTGCGCGGCCCAAATTTGCATATTCATCGCAAAATACTGGTCTGATCTTTACTGAAATGGCTTAATTTCATTCGTTATCCCTCGAAACATGGGGATAGACACCAAAATTATTCTGATACCATGAGTAGTTACTGAGATATTGACGAAAACTGGATTTTCAGTAATGGCCACCTTAATTTGCATATTGTGCGAATTGCCCAAGGATGACAGAGTGGCATCATTCAGATTCTGAAAGAGCACACCTCAGAGATATAGAAACAACAAAAAAACTTTGTATGGACCGCATTGCACGCTTATCGGTCTCTGCCACCAGACTATAGCCGGCGTGAGGCAGCAGGAAAAATGGGTCACCGAACGAGTCTGCGTGCGTGATGTAATCTTAAAGGAAAACTTTCGGTAATGATAAGATCAGTATTTTCTCAAACGCAATTTATGAGGCTGAAATTCGCTGGCGTCATGGTGTTCAACAAATTCATTAGAACGTTCACTTGACAGTATTAGTGTGACAGAGCGCATTATCTGGGATTTTAATGTGTGTGACGGCTCATTTCATGGCAATCCGTGTCTAAAAAAATCGGTCCAACAAATGTTCTGTGGCAACTGCCTCGGGCCTTACATTCCCATATCTCGGATTCAGGATGTTACTTATAGTATTGTACTTTCCACCAAAAGTCATGTTTTGGTACCATGTACCTTCTTTTACTTTCCAGCAAAAACATCCTGATAACTACAGGCAAACATTTCATATTTGTTTAAGTGTTAACATCTTACAATATTCCATTATGAACGTCACAAGCAGAGCTAGAGTAATTATTGAATATAATTATTTGTTTGTTTTGTAATCTGGCCAATCGTGGAATACAAGCTCCATATGCTCATATTTCTACATCTGCCTTCAGAAGTTACACACTAGTTTACATTAGTCTGTACATTTGCAGTAACATGTCTGTAATTTTACTTCTGCTTTATCTCCAAGACCTGTACTTAGCTTGTAAAGAGCGTGCAATGGAGGTCTTTTACTCATTCATTATTTGATCCCTGAGCTACCAACGAGGTTATATATCCCATTCAATCTCCCAGCTCCTACTCATTTTTTCCTGGGGAGTTGGTGATGTTGACGTAAAAGACCAAAACAAAAGACTCCATTGGCGATTAACAGAGACATCCGGAAAGCCCATGTTCATTTTGCAAACTAGTCATTTGCATACTGATTACCCGACAGCCTCTGTCCGGCCAAACATTGCGTCATTACCTGTAACGGATTCGTTATCACAAGACCAGGGGGAGTTCAGGGAGTTGTCTCAGAACCAGCTACGTACAAGCAGGTACTTTCTATTTTTTGGTGTGTGTTTTTACGTTATGTTGTTACAGTCGGCATCCAAACGAAAGGTAAGTTGGAGATGGTCATGAAAGTCGCATGGTTCTATTGTTTAGTACACAGGATTATTTCTTTGTTTTGTCACGGTGCTTGTTTAGAATCATTATTTTCCTTCTAATGGCCAGGAGTTTTGAAAAGGACTTTTGATAGGTATCAAGGTCAACTGCATGTACAGGTACGGGAAAAGTGCAGCTTACAACACAATCAGAAGATAAACTGTCTCGCCACCTCTGACGTAGAGATCTTTTTTTTCTATGCGTTTTTTTTTCAAACCTAGGAAATAAGATCTTTCAATGTAACATCTAAATTATCCCATGATGTGCAAATGAATGTAATTTCATAACATTTGTAGGGAGCCTAGATGCATGATTTTGTGTTAAAGTAATTTTTCAATATTTCATGAGCACAACACCTGCTCAGCCAGGCGAATCGCTCAAGCTGACAGACAAAGCCTGTACCTTATCAGGTCGGGCGGCATTCTTTGTGTTCTGTGTCAGCTGCGACGTTGTATTCCCTTTGTTCCAACCAGCATTTTTAAGATGTTAGAAAGGGAAAATGACTAAATCTTTCTATGATATGACACTGCTAGATGAGATCCTCTGGGATGGTACTGTGCAATATCAACGTTTTGTAAAGCTTTGGTCCCGATTGCGCCGGTGCCCGTCGGGAAGGTAGCCCCGGCTAGCCTGGTAACCAGACCGCCGTGAGCTCAGCGCTACCCCTCCGGCGCCGAGAGCGTTTGGGGCCGCCAACCAGGTCTCGTTTCTTCGCTTGGATCGGCGGCAAAAGAAGACTATAAGCGTAATACAGAAAGTCAGCGGATACAGGGAAACCAGCTCGTGATAGGTCTGTGGCATAACTCACCTGTGCTTGGTAAAGGCCGGGGCCGAAAAATTACCGCCAAGCCGACCAAAGGTTTGGTACCCAGGCTAAGCCCCGGCCGGCCCCGGCCAGGCTCTGGGGTCTGTCCGACACCGGCTGTCGTGGTCACAATTGAAAGTTGCCTTCACGCTGCCCTGCAGGGGTCCCCGGGCTCCCTCATTGGTCGGCCCCCGGCAGGTACTATTATGCAGGTACTCGGCAGGTGCTCTGACGATGTCTTGTAGTGACCCCCGTGGAGTCAGACAGGGTAACGCGTGCTTCTCACATCCCGATGAGGCAGTTGTAGGGTCCCGGCCGCATGCCCACGAACGAACCGGTCGGACTGCATGTAGGTAACGCTGTTTTCCTGAGTGGTCTGGTCTGCTTCCCGCTGTGGCTCGAGTGTTGTCTGCTCGTGTCTGTGACGGACTGTTAGTGATGGCGCAGCGTGCGTTTCACGTCAGCCACTAACAGACTCACGCCAGCGTCAGGGGTGATGTGGATCCTGTCTGGTTTGTACAGCGACCCTTCCTGTGACAACAGCCGATGCCTGATGTAGAAAATTCGGTCATCTTCCAGACATAGTTTCTCTACGTTGTCGTTGCACATGGCAATGTTCTTGTTGAGTGTGGATTCCATATGCATCCCTCTTGGGAGGACTATTGTTGCATTTGGAAATAATGTTTTTGCATTGTTTATCAATTTGCAAGTTTCTTCTAGACAAATGTTCACACTGTCTGATCGTGCTTTTGTCTTGTCCATGTCATTTGAGCCGAGATGAAAAATCTTGCCCCTTTTAGACGAATGATACGGTCGGCTCTTCTACAAACTTAAAACTTGAGGACCTTCTTCTGAAGGTCATAGACTGGGTGGTGGCACGTTTCAGACATTTGCCCAGTATTTGTACTCGACATGAAATAAAGACACACGAGTGTGTTTGTTCATCAAAACAAACCATACGATCAAAATGACATAATTTTACACTAAATGATACTTGTTCCAAGGTTTTTAGAGTGCTCATTTCCTTCAAAAAACATTGTTTCTAAGATCTCTTTTTAAACTTGTTTGCATATGTCATTTTTCCCAATACAGTCACACCGTTCCTAGTCAGCGTATCAACATAATGGACCAGTCCAACACTACCATGGCCGACAGCTTCCCGAAGTTCACCCGAGCCCTGGTTCGGCAAGTTCCGGAGTCCATTCGTGAACACTCGGAAGCGGTCAAAACTTACAAGAGAGACCGATACTACAGAGGATATGAATTTGAGAGAATAGATATTGCTAAAGCCCGAGAAGAGCACGAGCGGTACACGCAAACCCTGCGGGACCTGGGGCTGGAGGTGACCGTCCTACCGGCGGACGAGTCCACTCCGGACTGTCCGTTCGTGGAGGACACCTGTGTGGTGGTCGGTAACAGAGCGCTGGTGACCAGGCCATGGGGAGGACCTAGGAGAAAGGAGGTTAGTTCTACAGTCTTTTCCAGACTATGCACGATGCAAAAACAACTAATAAACCAGTGAATGTACCAACTACTAGGTATTCCTATAACTTAAAAATCAAGAAAAAAAAATAGTCATGCCTTCAAGTTCCAAGGGTTAAGGTGTTCATTCTTTCCTAGAACTATCGCAAATTAAGTGGGACTCTGTCACCAATTACATTAGGGGCATCATCATTAGGTAGCTTTAAACAATGTCTAGAGTTAATTGATCTTCAAGGGTTAGGTGTAATATAGCCAGCTGTCGCCGCGCCGCGTGCCTGCGAAGCTGGTGTGCTACGCCGAGGGGCGGTAATACCGGCTACGTAATCTCCAAGCAGATCTTTTGGTGGCTGCAAAGACAGAAAAAATTGGTCAGTCTATATACATATTGGTCAGTCTATATACATTGGCAAGACAGATACTCAAAGCGAAATGGTAACTGCAAGTCTACCTTGCCAACGGATACAGCCTGGCCAATTTGATTATGTCTTTGCAGCCATCGAAAGATCTTGGAGATAACCGGCTATATAAATATAGATACAAGAACTAAAAATAACATACATGTAGAATAGAAGCTAAGCCGTTGATAAACATGTCTTTTTTGTTGTTTTCCCAAGCTTGACTGTGTGGAGACGTGTCTGAAAAGTCTTGGACTGGAAGTGCACAGAATCCATGATGAGAAGGCGAAACTGGAGGGGGGTGATGTCGTCTTCACAGGTTTGTTACCTCCTTGAACGGAGGTTATGTTTTCAGTGTGATTGTGCGTGGATCTTCTTTTCTTTCACATGAGTTTTCTTGTCATTTTTGGTACAGAGGGTGTGCATGAAAGTTGCTTGTTGTTTGAGTTGTAACAGTGGGGGGTTTATAGGCGCTACCAACAGATCGGGCAAACGGGTCTAGACCTTTTAGCGGAGAGGTTAGAGTGTCTGACTGGGGCCCGGGAGGTCGTGGGTTCGAACCCCTGCCCGGGACCAGTGGAGTTTTTACTGCCTCCTGTTTCTTACAGTGGCCGGCCCTGGGAGTTCTGGCAAAGAGTGCCGCTCCAGGGATGTCGAATTCGGAAGATTCTTGAAAAACGAATCTTGAAAAGAAAAGGGGGAGTAGTGTAACAGTGGGGGGTTTATACCAACAGATCGGGCAAACGGGTTAGCGAAGACCTTTTAGCGGAGAGGTTAGAGTGTCTGACTGGGGCCCGGGAGGTCGTGGGTTCGAACCCCGCCCGGGACCAGTGGGTTTTTACAGTCTCCTCCTGTTTCTTACAGAGTTAAATGTTCTCTGTCCTTAGGAAAGGAGTTCTTCGTCGCCGCATCAGAATGTACCAACAAAGCAGGCCGAAAAGCCCTTGCCAACACGTTCCCAGAGTACCCTGTCCACACCATCCCAGTCTTGTGGCCAGAGTTCCATCTGAAAGGCGTGGCGTGCTGTGCGGGACCGGGCGTCATGGCGCTGGGGAAGAACAAGGATGGCAAAAGGGCATGGGAGGTACAGTGGGAGAATATATTTTCAGATTTTTAATGTGTTTACCGAAGGAAAACACATTATTTTTGCTCACTTTCCTCTTCTTCTTCTTCCGTCCAAAAAAATTACTTAAGCTTCTGTCCAGGCCAATGACCTGATTCGTTGACGTCTCTCACCATGGTAACTGGTGTTGGTTTACATAATGTTGCAATTTTATAGTAGGAGGGATTTATACGCCTGTCTGACCATACATATATATATATATACCGCCCCCCGCCCCGGTTAGGAGAAGGTTGGTATGCCCTGATGTAGATGGCTCCTTGAACTTCTCTCAGAAAACTTTACCTACTACATTTTAATTCTGAGACGAACGTCCATACTATTTTGAAAAGCTTCTAATAAACAGAGCGTATTTCCTGATACATTTTGCAGAAGATTCTGGAAAAAAGTGAGTTCACGTATGAACCTGTGTGGGTGCCTGACAATACTGCTGTGGACTGTATTCACGTCAACGGAACCGTCATTCACTGTACTGAAAAACAGGGACCAAAAAGCATAAAGGTAAACAACATATTTGCTTGTTTGTTTGCTTGCTTTGTTAGGTTCTATTAGTGTTACATAAATTTTACAATATAATTTCTGGAGCCAAGCAAAGAAGATGATGTAAAATACCATGTGGCTAATACAAGTACGAGACAAGCGTTTATCAGACTTCCATCCGGGTGATTTGTAGTGGATCACTAACTTCCATATGTAGCGGTTATTTAGATTACCGGAACATGTCCCTACTTTTTTTCGATATTTGTGGTGTTTTTTAACATGTGTGGGGCGTGGCTACCCCCAAACATATGATTGAACCTCCATTTGACGTCCTGTTTGAGGGACGTCCATAAACAAATTTAGGTTCTTATTTTAAACTCTGTAAAGTGTGGAAATTCGTGTAAATTTAAAATTATATTTCCAAAGGGCACAACATGAGGCATAGTGGATTTGAACCAAGGACTGCCTGGATCTGGATTTGATCTTAGGATCCGGACGTGTTGGTTTTGCGCTAAACACCTAACTATAAACGCTACACGATCCCAACAGTTCCTGAACCAAATAATGACAGTCCTGACATGCCACTGAAATTGTGCCATTGGGAAAGGCACTTTACCCGACTTTCCTCACTTGACTCAAGTGAAAATGAGTATTGTCATGTTCCGTATATTTGTCCTCGGCGTTGGTGACGGTATAAAATAAGTTGATATAACTTGAGTGTGCCGTCACCATGTCCAGTCATGAAATGTTGGAATAAAAAAAATAAAGACATGTACTTGGCTACTTTTCGTAAGAATGTTGATTGAAAAGGGAAATGCGACGAAAACTTAAATGCACAATGTAGCAGGAGGTCGACTCTCCTGTAAGAGGATAAAATGTTCTTTACTTATTCTTGATCTTGAATTGAGTATTAATCAAGCCTTTGTTCTATCTGTTGCTCCAGGTGTTTGAGGAGAAACTCTCTTGCTTCAACCGGGTGCCATGTTCTATCGGTGAGCTGGGGAAGGTGGACGCAGCCTTGTCTTGTTGTTCTGTCCTTTTCTAGCTAGAATCCCGGTCTGGAACGCCGATCGTTCTAGGATCGCAAACTGAAAACAGTCTTGTGATAGACATTTATATATTAAGTATATATACAGAACTTTATTCCTGGTAGCGGGTTCTGTCACTAATTCTACGAAATAAAAATTGCACAGCAGCCTACGGCGAAGGAGTTTTGTACAAGTGGGAAAAAATAACACAATACTAACAAGAAATCAAAGCCGGTAGTTTTAAATAAAAGTGTTTAGATTTTTTAGATATAGATATTTCGTATTAGCCATTTCAGATAAAGAAGTAGCCAACAGAACTCACTAACTCAGTTAGAACTTAATTTTGTAGAAGTAGGAAAATTAGTTTTTGTCAGGGTCGGAACAATATTCTTAAGTATAGTGAGTGATTTCACAATAAAAATACAATAAAATTTAATACTACTTTAAATCAACTTCATACTTACTTTTTATATTCGACTGCAAAAGCTTCCTTAGAAGTACTTAAAACTTAATTATTTTACATGCCATTGGTTAGAAAATTGTATTGATATTCTATGATGCACAGACTAAATGTGACACAAGCATATGCATATAATTATTGTAGCTACTAATGTGTTTACTGTCAGACTGTTGTCCAGATTATGACTTTAGTAAGTAGGCTGTCCTAAACCACAGTCTGGTTGGTAAAGGAAGCAGAGTTGAGTGGCCATTTTTCGCCCATCCTGGAAAAAATGAAGGCACTTCAGTAACACATTATACTATAAGTCTAAATGCTAGGAAACAACATTTTCATCACAAAAATTTTCAAGGTGACAAGATGTGTAAGTCCTTTATACATACATTTATTATAGAAACTAACTTTTCATGCTTAGCAGTACTAAAAATTGTCAGGTCATTTCCAATGCAGGTTTACAGAAAAAATTGAGCCCTGGAATTGTAAAAAACAGGTAGTTGTATTTTGTAATGTTACATTAATCAGTTCTTAGATGTTCTTCAAGTCACTGTCAATGTTAACATTACTAATTTAGTGATGTGAAATGTTATTCTTAATAAACCTGTCCATCACTATCAAAGATGTTTTAAAGTTATTGAAGGCATCTAATATAATTTGTTCAGCAAAACTGAATTTTCAAAGTCAACTCTCTGGTCATTCTTTTCATGTTACAGTAACAAGTTTAAAAAATCCTCTCCCATATGGAATACTAATCTGTGAGGCAAAAGTGTAATGTCACTGACAAAAATAAGATTTGCTTTCTTGTGCAAATCTTCTTTAGCATAATTTGTATTTAATTAATATGATATGTTAATCTCTCTAAAGCTACCTACACATAAGAAATTGTGAAATTCAAAGTACATTGTTCCTTTCTGTACATATCTGGTTTAAAGGAATTTTTCAGAAACTCCCCTGCAGTTCCAGAACAAGCTGCTGGGGGACAAAACCCACACCAGTTATTTCTGACAGGATAAGCTATTTGTCACCAAAAAGTCAAGACCATAGCACGTTCGGGACGAAAGAAAAGTAATGAATGCCAACTACCAGAAAAATGTCCTAATCCAAAAGATCTAATTGTTTTATCATTCTGAATTCTGTATATGGATGGCTTTAACAGCGGGATGCAGTGGTAGAAATACTGTTTTGAACTGTTCTGCAATATTGCAGAATATCATTATCAAAATTTGGTTCTGCAATTTGGAAATACTTTCTGCAAATACACACTGAAAGGTCTAGACCTTAAAATCTATAGCATATACAAAATTGTGATTTCACATGCAATTTGAAAAAATACCGGTACATGTTAAGTTACATTGTACTGGACCACTTGTAATGTATATCATAAAGTCAATAATGCTGTTCTGCATCCAATTTGTTATTTACTTTTGTTATTATGATTTGCAGTTCTGCATCCACTTGTTATTTATTTATTGTTATTAGGATTTGCAGTTCTGCATCCACTTTGTTATTTACTTATCGTTATTAAGATTTGCAGTTCTGCACCCACTTGTGATTTACTACTGTTTATGGTTTGCAGTTTTGCAACCTCTTTTTGTAACAGTTTTTGTTACATTAATCATCCATGACCTCTGACCTCTCCCCGTTCACTTAAGTTCAGTTTTCAGTTAATGTTGTGTGCGTTATGTTATTTTTTTTTATTAAGACTCACACCTTTTGTTATGTTGGTTTTACTTTCATGTACATTTGTTTTGTTCTGTTCTGTACATTTCTTTCATTGTAATTTTGCGACTCCAGGAAGAATAGATTTCATGTAAATCTAATGGAGATCGAATAAACAAACAAACAAACAAACAATAAACTCTTGATCACCATTGAGATCCTATCCCCTATCCCAATGTTTACAGTCTCCAAAATTGCAGGCTGCTTAACTTTTCTTCTGCAATATTGAAAATATACGAAATTTCGTAACGTTGATCTAAGTATTTATAAAAAAAAAATGCTATGTTGCTTCAGTCGGCATCCAAATGAAAGGTAAGTTGGAGATGTAAACGGTAGACGGTGCGTTAGGAAACATTGTCATGAAAGTCGCATGGTTCTATTGTTTAATATACAGGATCATTTGTTGTGTCATAGTGCTTGTTTAGAATTACTATTTTCCTACTAATGGCCAGGACTTTGAAAATGACGTTTTATGGATATCGAAGAAGCTGCATGTACAGGTACGGGAAAAGTGCAGCTTAGAACATATCAAAAGAGAAACTCCTTTGTTAGGTACAAAATTGACCTAAATCATTGGACAAGGACTATTTATAATGTACCAACCGGTCCTTGTCCTTAAAATCTAGGTTAAATTGAGACGCGATCGACTAACCACACTACCTTAAGCGATACCAGTCTTGCGGGGTCATTTAGAATGATGCTTTAATCGTGGTACCAAGTAACATAATATGCTTGAGAAAATCACGTTTAGAAATCGTTATTTGCCATTCATAAGTCGGCCTTGAAACGACTACATCACATATTCTAGTGATAAGAGTGTAGTGTACCGCGGTTTACAGTACAGTGCACAAAGACCGAGAGTCAGACTGTCCTTCCATACGTCATTGTCATCTGTAGCTAGTTATCTAGTAAAAAAAAGCCTTGCATACCATTTCAAGGATACCAGCGAGAAAGACTTTTAATCTGTGAAGGAAGAAAGTGCAGATGGGGCTTTTTGCTTACTTTCACTATAGTGGCTGGTGTTTCTTGGGACCAGTTTAGGCAAATTACAGCAATACAGGTATAGCATTTGTTTCGAGCTTAAAAGAGATGACTATGTACACGTACCGGACAAGAGCTTTTTACAGTAATGCTAGTAATGCCTTTGTGTCAGGTGAAAAACACGTTGTTTCATTCGGAAATAGGCTGATAGATTGTTGACTTTTTGCCTGCTCTGGATCCACGACACTGTGTGCCAGGTAATAGTAAGTTACTTGAACCCCGGCAGTACTCCAGTAAACCAGTATGGCGAATCTTAACCGAAACGAGCTACGTGTTTAGGTTTTAGCGGAGCTTAAAATCATGTAATTGAAGGATTACTTCTAGCTGTCTTGCCACCTCTGACGTAGGGCTTTGTTTCTCTATTAGTTATTTGTTTCCTTTTTTAACTTAGGAAATCAAATCTTTCAATCTAAAATTTTTAATTCATCCCACGATGTGCAGATAAGTTAATTTTCACCACATTTCATGTCATTTGTAGAGAGACAAGATGCATGGTTTTGTGTAATTTTTTAAAAATATTTCATTAGCACAACACCTGTCCCAATTGCCCAGCCAGGCGAATCGCTCAAGCTGACAGACAAAGCCCGTACCTTATCAGGTCGGGCGGTTTCCTTTGAGTTCTGTGTCACCTGCGACAGTGTATTCCCTTTGTTTCAATCAGCATTTTTAAGATGTTAGAAAGGGAAAATGACTAAATCTTTCTATGATATGACACTGCTAGATGAGATCCTGTGGTACTATACAATATCCAATTGTTGTAAGCCGCGGTCGATCTAGTTTAAGCCGGTCTCAAGGCTTTAAAAACTTGTCTCATTGCGGAAAATTACTACTAACGTCTCCAAACCTCCTAATCTATACCGGACTCCTTTGCAGGCGGAATAATTAGCAGGAATCGTCCTAAAAAAGAATGGCCAGAGGAGTTAGCCGGCAATAAAGGTTCCACTTTGCCAGCAATTCTACCGTTAATTTTTCTATTCACCAATACCATTTGGAATATAATTGCGTTTTAATTGCGTTTAAAAATGTTTTAAGGTCAGTCTCATCACACTTAACAGGCAAAGCAATATACAGCTTTCAGCCCGATTTACACGTGGCAAAAAATATCTAATTTAAAAGGAAAACCTACAATGTCGACCTAAAAGACCAAAACAAAAGACTCCATCAGTGAAATTAACGGAGACATCCGAAAAGCCGTTCTTCATTTTGCAAACTAGTCATTTGCATACTGATTAAGGGACGTTTAAAATTTCCCGACAGCCTCTGTCCGACCAAACATTGCGTCATTACCTGCAACGGGTTCGTTATCACAAGAACGGGGGTAGTTCTGGAAGTTGTCTCTGAACCAGCTACGTACAAGCAGGTAATTTCTATTTTTACCATTGATCTAAGTGTTTATGTATGTTGTTACCGTCAACATCCAAACGAAAGGTAAGTCGGAGATGTAAACGGTAGACGGTGCGTTGGAAAACGTTGTCATGAAAGTCGCATGGTTCTATTGTTTAATATACAGGATCATTTGATGTGTCATGGTGCTTGCTTAGAATCATTATTTTCCTACTAATGGGCAGGACTTTGAAAATGAAGTTTGGTGGATATCGAAGAAGTCAACTGCATGTACAGGTACGGGAAGAGTGCAGCTTACAACATTTAAAAAGGGAAACTCCTTTGTTATGTACAAAATTGACCTAAAGCATTGGACAAGGACTATTGATAATGTAGCAACCGGTCCTTGTCCTTATAATCTAGGTTAAATTGAGACGCGATCGACTAACTACACTACCTTGAGCGATACTAGCTGGGGTCATTTAGAAGAGTGTATTAAACGTGGGCCCAAGTAACATTAGGCTTGAGAAAATCGTTTAAAAATCGTCATTTGCCATTTTTAAGGAGGCCTTGAAACTACTACATCACATATTATAATGATAAGGGTGTCGTGTATAGTGGTATAAATTACAGTGCACATAGACCGAGAGTCAGACTGTCCTTCCATACTTCACTGTCATCTGTAGCTACTTATTACATGTAAGTAAAAAGCCTCGCACACCTTTACAAGGATACCAGCGAGAAAGACTTATAATGAAGTAATTGAAGGGTTGCTTCTGGCTGGCCTTGCCACCTCTGACGTCGGGCTTTGCTTTCTTTATGCATTATTTTTCTTTAAACTTAAGAAATAAAAATCTTTCAATTTGACATTTAAATCATCGCAGGTAAGTTCATTTTTACCAAAATTGTAAAGAGGCAAGATGCATGGTTTTGTGTAATTTTTTAAAAATATTTCATGAGCACAACACCTGCTCAGCCCGGCGAATCGCTCAAGCTGACAGACAAAGCCTGTACCTTATCAGGTCGGGCGGTTTCCTTTGTGTTCTGTGTCACCTGCGACAGTGTATTCCCATTGTTCCAACCAGCATTTTTAAGATGTTAGAAAGGGAAAATGACTAAATCTTTCTATGATATTACACTGGTAGATGAGATCCTGTGGTACTGTGCAATATCCAACTGCTGTAAGCCGCGGTCGATCTTTAGTTAAAGCCGGTCTCAAGGCTTTAAAAACTTGCCTCACTGCGGAAAATTACTACTAACGTCTCCAAACCTCCTAATCTATACCGGAATAATTAGCAGGAATCGTCCTAAAAAAAGAAATGTACCTGGCCAGAGGAGTTAGCCGGCAATAAAGGTTGCCAGCAATTCTACCGTTAATTTTTCTATTCACCAATACCATTTGGAATATAATTGCGTTTTAATTGCGTTTAATTTAATGTTTTAAGGCCAGTCTCATCACACTTATTAACAGGCAAAGCAATATACAGCTTTCAGCCCGATTTACACGTGGCAAAAAATATCTAAGTTAAAGGAAAACCTACAATGTCGACCTAAAAGACCAAAACAAAAGACTCCATCGGTGAAATTAACGGAGACATCCGGAAAGCCCTTCTTCATTTTGCAAACTAGTCATTTGCATACTGATTAAGGGACGAATGGAATTACCCGACAGCCTCTGTCCGGCCAAACATTGCGTCATTACCTGTAACGGGTTCGTTATCACAATAACGGGGGTAGACTAAGAGTGTCGTGTGTAGGCTACATGTATTTTAGCGCCAACCAGAAATGTCGGAAATGTATAATTGCACGAGATCATTGCACGAGAACGTTATAATTAAATAAAATAATTCCACGCATATGTTGAAAATGAATTTTACGTGCAAAATTACACGCATATGTTGAAAAGGAGAAGTAAATTTCAATCACATGAATATTACTTCAATTAGAATATGTCAGTTTTTTTGGTGCAAATTATATATTGCCCTTTGAGACAATTACTACGGTCGGCTCTGCTACAAACTTAAAACTTGGCGACCTTCATTTGAAGGTCGTAGACTGGGTGGCACGTTTCAGACATTTTGCCCAGGGAAGACATGTACTCGACATGGAATAAAAAGAAACATGAGTGTGTGTTTGTTTGTTCTTCAAAACAAACCAAACGATCAAAATGACATAATTTTACATTAAATGATACTTCTTCCAAGGTTCTAAGAGTGCTAGACAGTGAAATGTATATTTCCTTAAAAAAACATTGTTTTCAAACGCGTTTCGTGCGTTATTTTCCAAATACAGTAACACCGTTCTTAGTCATCGTATCAACATAATGGACCAGTCCAACACTACCATGGCCGACAGCTTCCCGAAGTTCACCCGAGCCCTGGTTCGGCAAGTTCCGGAGTCCATTCGTGAACACTCGGAAGCCGTCGAAACCTACAAGAGAGACCGATACTACCGAGGATATGAATTTGAGAGAATAGATATTGCTAAAGCCCGAGAAGAGCACGAGCGGTACACGCAGACCCTGCGGGACCTGGGGCTGGAGGTGACCGTCCTACCGGCGGACGAGTCCACTCCGGACTGCCCGTTTGTAGAGGACACCTGTGTGGTGGTGGGTAACAGAGCGCTGGTGACCAGGCCATGGGGAGGACCTAGGAGACGGGAGGTCAGTTCTACAGTCTTTTCCAGACTATGCAGGATGTAAAAAACAACTAATAAACCGGTGGATTTACCAAATAATAGGTAGCCAAGAAATGAAATAAAAGGAAATAGTCATGCCTTTAAGTACCAGAATTATTAACGAAGGATTGAGGTGTTAAAAAAACTCATTTGTTCCTAGAACTATCGCAAAGTGGAACTCGCTGTCACCAAGTACAGTAGGGGCATCATCATTAGATAGCTTTAAACAATATTTAGAGTTAGATGTTCAAGGGTTAGGAAAGATCTGTTTGGAGATAACCTGCAGATGCAGATAAAACCACACAAAGTTATCACAAAAATACCACACATATGAAACAGAAGCTAAGCAGTTAATATTAAACATGTATTTTTTGTTGTTGTTTTCCTAAGCTTGACTGTGTGGAGACGTGTCTGAAAAGTCTTGGACTGGAAGTGTACAGAATCCATGATGAGAAGGCGAAACTGGAGGGGGGTGATGTCGTCTTCACAGGTTTGTTACCTCCTTGAACGGAGGTTATGTTTTCAGTGTGATTGTGCGTGGATCTTCTTTTCTTTCACATGAGTTTTCTTGTCATTTTTGGTACAGAGGGTGTGCATGAAAGTTGCTTGTTGTTTGAGTTGTAACAGTGGGAGGGTTTATAGGCGCTACCAACAGATCGGGCAAACGGGTATAGACCTTTTAGCGGAGAGGTTAGAGTGTCTGACTGGGACCCGGGAGGTCGTGGGTTCGAACCCCGGCCCGGACCAGGAGGGTTTTTATCTGTTTCTACTCGCTCCCTCCTGTTTCTTACAGTCTTACAGTGGTTCCCACACCGGCCCTGGGAGTTCTGGCAAAGAGTGCCAATTGTCGAGTGCCAGATGTCCAGGGATGTCGAATTCGGAAGATTCGAGGACGAATCTTGAAAAGAAAAGGGGGAGTAGTGTAACAGTGGGGGGTTTATACCAATAGATCGGGCAAACGGGTCTAGACCTTTTAGCGGATAGGTTAGAGTGTCTGACTGGGGCCCGGGAGGTTGTGGGTTCGAACCCCGCCCGGGACCAGTGGGTTTTTACAGTCTCCTCCTGTTTCTTACAGTCTGAGAGTTAAATGTTCTCTGTCCTTAGGAAAGGAGTTCTTCGTCGCCGCATCAGAATGTACCAACAAAGCAGGCCGAAAAGCCCTGGCCAACACGTTCCCAGAGTACCCTGTCCACACCATCCCAGTCTTGTGGCCAGAGTTCCATCTGAAAGGTGTGGCGTGCTGTGCGGGACCGGGCGTCATGGCGCTGGGGAAGAACAAGGATGGCAAAAGGGCATGGGAGGTAGAGTGGGAGAATATATTTTCAGATTTATTATGCTTACCGAAGGAAAACACATTAATTTTGCTCAGTTTCCTCTTCTTCTTCTTCTTCCGTCCCAAACAATTACTTAAGCTTCTGACCTGGCCAATGACCTGATTTGTTGACGTCTCTCACCATGGTAACTGGTGTTGGTTTACATAATGTTGCAATTTTATAGTAGGAGGGATTTATACTCCTGTCTGACCATACATATATATTAACGCCCCCCGCCCCGGTTAGGAGAAGGTTGGTATGCCCTGATGTAGATGGCTCCTTGAACTTCTCTCAGAAAACTTTACCTACTACGGTTAATTCTGAGACGAACTTCCATACTATTTTGAAAAGCTTCTAATATACAGAGCGTATTTCCTGATACATTTTGCAGAAGATTCTGGAAAAAAGTGAGTTCACGTATGAACCTGTGTGGGTGCCTGACAATACTGCTGTGGACTGTATTCACGTCAACGGAAACGTCATTCACTGTACTGAAAAGCAGGGACCAAAAAGCATGAAGGTAAATAACATATTTGCTTGTTTGTTTGTTTGTTTGTTTGTTTGTATGTTTGCTTGCTTGCTTTATTAGTTTCTATTAGTGTTACATAAATTTGACAATATCATTTCTGGAGCCAAAAGGAGATGATGTAAAAAAAACATGTGGCTAATACAAGTACGAGACGGGGGTTCATCAGGTTTCCATCCGGGTGATTTGTAGTGGATCACCAACTTCCATATGAAGCAGTTATTTAGATAACCGGGGCATGTCCCTTTTTTCAAAATGTGTGGTGTTTTTTTTTACATGTGTTGGGCATGGCTACCCCCAAACAAATGATCGAACCTCCATTTAACGCCCTATCTGGGGGACGTCCATATACAAATTTAGATTCTTATTTTAAACTCTGTAAAGTGTGGAAATTCGTGTAAGTTTTATTTCCAAAGGGCACAAAATTGAGGCACGTTATAATTAGTGTATTTTGAACCAAGGACTGACTGGGTCTGGACTTGAACTTAGGATCCGGACCTGTTGGTTCTGGGTTAAACACGTAACTATAAACGCTACACGATCCCAACAGTTCCTGAACCAAATAATGACAGTCCTGACATGCCACCGAAATTGTGCCCTTGGGAAAGGCACTTTACACGACTTTCCCCACTTGACTCAAGTGAAAATGAGTACGTTCTGTTCCGTATTTGTCCCCTGCGTTGGTGACGGTATAAAATAAGTTGATATAACTTGAGTGTGCCGTCACCATGTCCAGTCATGAAATGTTGGAATAAAAAAAAAATAAAGACATGTACTTGGCTACTTTTCGTAAGAATGTTGATTGAAAAGGGAAATGCGACGAAAACTTGCACAATGTAGCAGGAAGTCGGCTCTCCTGTAAGAGGATAAAATGTTCTTTTCTTATTCTTGATCTTGATTTGAGTATTAATCAAGCCTTTGTTCTATCTGTTGCTCCAGGTGTTTGAGGAGAAACTCTCTTGCTTCAACCGGGTGCCATGTTCTATCGGTGAACTGGGGAAGGTGGACGCAGCCTTGTCGTGTTGTTCTGTCCTTTTCTAGCTAGAATCCCGGTCTGGAACGCCGATCGTTCTAGGATCGCAAACTGAAAACAGTCTTGTGATAGACATTTATATATTAAGTATATATACAGAACTTTATTCCTGGTAGCGGGTTCTGTCACTAATTCTACGAAATAAAAATTGTACAGCAGCCTACGGCGAAGGAGTTTTGTACAAGTGGGAAAAAATAACACAATACTAACAAGAAATCAAAGCCGGTAGTTTTAAATAAAAGTGTTTAGATTTTTTAGATATAGATATTTCGTATTAGCCATTTCAGATAAAGTAGTAGCCAACAGAACTCACTAACTCAGTTAGAACTTAATTTTGTAGAAGAGGGAAAATTAGTTTTTGTCAGGGTCGGAACAATATTCTTAAGTATAGTGAGTGATTTCACAATAAAAATACAATAAAATTTAATACTACTTTAAATCAACTTCATACTTACTTTAAATTTATATTTGACTGCAAAAGCTTCCTTATAAGTACTTAAAACTTAATAATTTTACATGCCATTGGTTAGAAAATTGTATTGATATTCTATGATGTACAGAATAAATGCGACACAATCATATGCATATAATTATTGTAGCTACTAATGTGTTTACTGTCAGACTGTTGTCCAGATTATGGCTTTAGTAGTAAAGATGGCTGTCCTAAAGCACAGTCTGGTTGGTGAAGGAAGCAGAGTTGAGTGGCCATTTTTCGCCCATCCTGGAAAAAATGAAGGCACTTCAGTAACACATTATACTATAAGTCTAAATGCTAGGAAACAACATTTTCATCACAAAAATTTTCAAGGTGACAAGATGTGTAAGTCCTTTATACATACATTTATTATAGAAACTAACTTTTCATGCTTAGCAGTACTAAAAATTGTCAGGTCATTTCCAATGCAGGTTTACAGAAAAAATTGAGCCCTGGAATTGTAAACACAGGTAGTTGTATTTTGTAATGTTACATTAATCAGTTCTTAAATGTTCTTCAAGTCACTGTCAATGTTAACATTACTAATTTAGTGATGTGAAATGTTATTCTTAATAAACCTGTCCATCACTATCAAAGATGTTTTAAAGTTATTGAAGGCATCTAATATAATTTGTTCAGCAAAACTGAATTTTCAAAGTCAACTCTCTGGTCATTCTTTTCATGTTACAGTAACAAGTTTAAAAAATCCTCTCCCATATGGAATACTAATCTGTGAGGCAAAAGTGTAATGTCACTGACAAAAATAAGATTTGCTTTCTTGTGCAAATCTTCTTTAGCATAATTTGTATTTAATTAATATGATATGTTAATCTCTCTAAACCTACCTACACATAAGAAATTATGAAATTCAAATTGCATTGTTCCTTTCTGTCCATATCTGGTTTAAAGGATTTTGCTAGAAACTCCCCCGAAGTTCCAGATCAAGCTGCTAGGGGGACAAAACCCACACCAGTTATTTTTGACAGGAAAAGCTATTTGTCACCAAACAGTCATGACCATAGCACGTACCACAGGACCATAGGTAGGACCATAGCAACTACCAGAAAATGTCCTTATTCAGAAGATATATTTGTTTTATCATAGTGAATTCTGTATATGGATGAACTTAACAGCAGGATGCAGTGGTAGAAATACTGTTTTGCACTGTTCTGCAATATTGCAGAATATCATTATCAAAATTTGGTTCTGCAATTTGGAAATACTTCCGCAAATACACACTGAAAAGTCTAGATCTTAAAACCTACGGCCTATACATGCAATGGTGATTTTACATGCAATTTAGAAAATTCCGGTACATGTAAAGTTGCATTGTACTGGACCACTTGTAATGTATACTAGTATCATCAAGTCAATATTAAACTCTTGATCACCATTGACATCCTATCCCCTATCCCAATGATGACAGTCTGCAAAATTGCAGGCTGCTTAACTTTTCTTCCGCAATATTGAAAATGTAGACTGCAGATGGGTATTTCTAACACTCAGGATGGTATATTAAGGAAGTGGCTGACCAGAGAGCCCAGCGGGTGTGGTCGCTGACCTCTGCCCCAGAGTTGGGATGTACCAGGATGTCCTGGTCACCTCGGTTCTGCATCACCCACTCGGTTGGGTTAAGGCAGCCTATGGCCAACTATGATTAGTATTTCATACATATGGCTGTAACTTTTGATAGCTTGGTCGCACCACAACTTAACTTCACACAGTTCTAGTAGTACTTGAAACACATTGAGTAAAGGTTATTTTGTTTTTACTACTTCTGAATTTTTGGGTTAAAAATCAACATTTTGGTTAAAAAAAAGCTGTTTACTTCATGGCTTTACGCCCAAGCGGTAACAACACCTTTCATCATGATATTTTACAAGTAGAAAGCCAACCCCCTATTTATTATTTTTGTCCGAGGCTATTTTGTTTTAAATGACAGTTACACTGTTTTTTTGGGCCAAAAACGACAGAAACAGCTATTTTTCTGTCATTTTTCGTTAAAAAATCGCCACAGTTAAAAAATTTCGACTTATATGCAAAATAGCCTCGGATAATTTTGATAAAAAAGTGATAATACGTAAACATGGATTACTCTAAAGATGAATTATGTTGTTTTCAGCTGGGCGTAAAGCCGTTTAAGTCATACTCCGAGAATAAAATGCGTAACAACGCGGGTTTACAGGGAAAACATACAAATGACCGCCGGTAACCCCGAATTCGAACACGCGTTCTATTCGAATGACGTCATATCGAACATGGTGGAACATGATTCGGGTTCGAAACATGTATGTGGCAATCGTGCAGATACACGTCCGAACTCGAACATGAATATCAGCCTAGGCCGCCTTAACCCAACCGAGCAGGGTACAGCTGCACAGACAGGAGTCAATCAGGGGGTAAACATACTAGTAGATCACAACTTTCTCAAGATGTAGCGGTTATACAAGAAATTCATGATTTATATTATGACACACTTTTATTTTATATAAAACACGAGTTAATTTGCATAGAGCATTATTACAGGTGGTGAGAAAGATCAGAAAGGTGATAAAGATAGAGCATAATCATAAATAGTATAGAAGTACCCGATAGCCAATTATCTGGCAAAAAAACTGGATCGAGAGCTAGAGGTTCCCTTAACTGTCTCTGAACCAGATATCTGCAACAGGTATTCTCTTTTTTTTACTATTGATCAGCAATTTACGCATGTATGCTGTTTTTTTACAGTCGGTAACCAAATGAAAGGTAAGTCGTAAATGTTACACCTACACAGTGTTAGACAACTTTGTCGTGAAAGTCGCGGGGTTCTCACGTGTCTTTTGTTTGGAATACAGGATTCCCTTTCTTTGTTTTGACATGGCGATTGCCGAATACAATCCTTTTTGCCTCTAATCACCAGGACTTTAGAAAAGGACTGGTATACAAATCTGGTAAGTGCCCAGTCTTGTAAAAAGAAAACGTTTATGCAAACATTTTTACCCTTCAATAGCTCGGTTGCAAATCACTTCCCACGCTCATTCGTTGAAACCTGGATTGGTATACTCAAGTAAAGATATACTGGTACAGTAGTATATAACGCAACTTGTTTATGTAACCAAGGAAGATATTGGATTTCTCCTCTACGTTGACGACAATTCAAAAGGTTACAAGTGAGCAGTAAAGCCCTCAGCAGGAAAACTGGGTCACCGAACGAGTCTGCGTGCGAGATGTAATCTAAAAGGAAAACCTTTGGTAATGATAAGATCAGTATTTCCTCAAACGTACATTACCAGGCGAAATATAATCCCCATTCTCTGAAATTCGCTTGCGTTATGGTGTTCAACAATTTAATTCTGCTTTATCTCTAAAGCGACGGTCACAACCCGCCGTACGTGCTTTTTCTCCGTACGTTTTTTGGGAGGCTACGTCTGGTACGTTTTTCCTGAAAACGTGGGGAACGAGTGGCGTCGACGCACGTCACTCGCACGTCACTCGCACGGTTGCGCAAGGTGTAAGAGTGTGGTCTGCACGCCAAGACTGGCCGTGAGCGGTTGCGTGCATCGTACGTTGAGCAACTGGTAAGTGAGTTGTACGTGCTTACAACGTACGATCTCTGTGCGATTGCAACTTTACCGTAAGAAGGCCGTACTCACACGTGCTTCTTCCGCACGGCACGTACGGGGCACGTGCGTCGCTCGTACTAGCACGCACGCGTGGTGAATCCGCAGACCGCACGTAGAAAAAGATTTACATGCACTTAAAGTTCTACGGCGTGTCTGCGTGCTCCCAAATCCGTAGGATTCCGTACCGAGGTGGTACTCACCACGCACGGATCCCCTACGTTTGCCCACGTTTTTGCACGTAGACAGCACGCAGAAGCACGTACGGCGGGTTGTGACCGTCGCTTAAGATCTGTACTTAGCTTATAAGAGCGTAAAGGGTAGGTCTTTCATTCATTTGATTCATTATTTGATCTCTCCTACCAACTGAAGGAGGTTATATATCCCCTAAAACCTCCTTGCTCCTACTCAATTCTTTCCCAGGGCGCTGGCTCCATCGGTAATGGGAAATTAATGGAGACATCCGAGAAGCCCTTCTTCATTTTGCACACTAGTCATTTGCATACTAATTCAGGGACGTATAGAATTACCCGACAGCCTCTGTCCGGCCAAACATTGCGTCATTACCTGTAACGGGTTCGTTATCACAAGAACGGGGGTAGTTCGGGGAGTCGTCTCTGAACCAGCTACGCACAAGCAGGTATTTTCGATTTTTTTACCGTTGATCTAAGTATTTATGTTATGTTGTTACCGATGGCATCCAAATGAAAGGTACGTCGGAGATGTAAACGGTAGACGGTGCGTTAGGAAACGTTGTCATGAAAGTCGCATGGTTCTATTGTTTAATATACAGGATCATTTGTTGTGTCATAGTGCTTGTTTAGAATCATTATTTTCCTACTAATGGCCAGGACTTTGAAAATGACGTTTTATGGATATCGAAGAAGCTGCACGGGAAAAGTGCAGCTTACAACATATCAAAAGAGAAACTCCTTTGTTAGGTACAAAATTGACCTAAATCATTGGACAAGGACTATTGGTAATGTACCAACCGGTCCTTGTCCTTAAAATCTAGGTTAAATTGAGACGCGATCGACTAACCACACTACCTTAAGCGATACCAGTCTTTCGGGGTCATTTAGAATGATGCTTTAATCGTGGTACCAAGTAACATAATATGCTTGAGAAAATCACGTTTAGAAATCGTTATTTGCCATTCATAAGTCGGCCTTGAAACGACTACATCACATATTCTAGTGATAAGAGTGTAGTGTACCGCGGTTTACAGTACAGTGCACAAAGACCGAGAGTCAGACTGTCCTTCCATACGTCATTGTCATCTGTAGCTAGTTATTTAGTAAAAAAAAGCCTTGCATACAATTTCAAGGATACCAGCGAGAAAGACTTTTTTATCTGTGAAGGAAGAAAGTGCAGATGGGCCTTTTGCTTACTTTCACTATAGTGGCTGGTGTTTCTTGGGACCGGTTCAGGCAAGTCACAGCAATACAGGTATAGCATTTGTTTCGAGCTTAAAAGAGATGACTATGTACACGTACCGGACAAGAGCTTTTTACAGTAATGCTAGTAATGCCTTTGTGTCAGGTGAAAAACACGTTGTTTCATTCGGAAATAGGCTGATAGATTGTTGACTTTTTGCCTGCTCTGGATCCACGACACTGTGTGCCAGGTAATAGTAAGTTACTTAAACCCCGGCAGTACTCCAGTAAACCAGTATGGCGAATCTTAACCGAAACGAGCTACGTGTTTAGGTTTTAGCGGAGCTTAAAATCATGTAATTGAAGGATTACTTCTAGCTGTCTTGCCACCTCTGACGTAGGGCTTTGTTTTCTCTATTAGTTATTTGTTTCTTCTCTTAACTTAGGAAATCAAATCTTTCAATTAAAAATTTTTAATTCATCCCACGATGTGCAGATAAGTTAATTTTCACCACATTTTATGTCATTTGTAGAGAGACAAGATGCATGGTTTTGTGTAATTTTTTTAAAATATTTCATTAGCACAACACCTGTCCCAATTGCCCAGCCAGGCGAATCGCTTAAGCTGACAGACAAAGCCTGTACCTTATCAGGTCGGGCGGTTTCCTTTGTGTTCTGTGTCACCTGCGACAGTGTATTCCCTTTGTTTCAACCAGCATTTTTAAGATGTTAGAAAGGGAAAATGACTAAATCTTTCTATGATATGACACTGCTAGATGAGATCCTGTGGTACTATACAATATCCAACAGGTGTAAGCCGCGGTCGATCTAGTTTAAGCCGGTCTCAAGGCTTTAAAAACTTGTCTCACTGCGGAAAATTACTACTAACGTCTCCAAACCTCCTAATCTATACCGGACTCATTTGCAGGCGGAATAATTAGCAGGAATCGTCCTAAAAAAGAATGGCCAGAGGAGTTAGCCGGCAATAAAGGTTCCACTTTGCCAGCAATTCTACCGTTAATTTTTCTATTCACCAATACTATTTGGAATATAATTGCGTTTTAATTGCGTTTAAAAATGTTTTAAGGCCAGTCTCATCACACTTAACAGGCAAAGCAATATACAGCTTTCAGCCCGATTTACACGTGGCAAAAAATATCTAATTTAAAAGGAAAACCTACAATGTCGACCTAAAAGACCAAAACAAAAGACTCCATCAGTGAAATTAACGGAGACATCCGAAAAGCCGTTCTTCATTTTGCAAACTAGTCATTTGCATACTGATTCAGTGACGAATAGAATTACCCGACAGCCTCTGTCCGACCAAACATTGCGTCATTACCTGTACGTAACGGGTTCGTTATCACAAGAACGGGGGTAGTTCTGGAAGTTGTCTCTGAACCAGCTACGTACAAGCAGGTAATTTCTATTTTTACCATTGATCTAAGTGTTTATGTATGTTGTTACCGTCGACATCCAAACGAAAGGTAAGCCGGAGATGTAAACGGTAGACGGTGCGTTGGAAAACGTTGTCATGAAAGTCGCATGGTTCTATTGTTTAGTATACAGGATCATTTGTTGTGTCATGGTGCTTGCTTAGAATCATTATTTTCCTACTAATGGGCAGGACTTTGAAAATGACGTTTTATGGATATCGAAGAAGTCAACTGCATGTACAGGTACGGGAAGAGTGCAGCTTACAACATTTAAAAAGGGAAACTCCTTTGTTAAGTACAAAATTGACCTAAAGCATTGGACAAGGACTATTGATAATGTACCAACCGGTCCTTGTCCTTATAATCTAGGTTAAATTGAGACGCGATCGACTAACTACACTACCTTGAGCGATACTAGCTGGGGTCATTTAGAAGAGTGTATTGAACGTGGGCCCAAGTAACATTAGGCTTGAGAAAATCGTTTAAAAATCGTTATTTGCCATTTTTAAGGAGGCTTTGAACTACTACATCACATATTATAATGATAAGGGTGTCGTGTATGGCGGTATACATTACAGTGCATATAGACCGAGAGTCAGACTGTCCTTCCATACGTCACTGTCATCTATAGCTACTTATTACATGTAACTAAAGAGCCTCGCACACCTTTACAAGGATACCAGCGAGAAAGACTTATGATGAAGTAATTGGAGGGTTGCTTCTGGCTGGCCTTGCCCCCTCTGACGTCGGGCTTTGCTTTCTTTATGCATTATTTTTCTTTAAACTTAAGAAATAAAAATGTTTCAATTTGACATTTAAATCATCGCAGGTAAGTTCATTTTTACCAAAATTGTAAAGAGGCAAGATGCATGGTTTTGTGTAATTTTTTAAAAATATTTCATGAGCACAACACCTGCCCAGCCAGGCGAATCGCTCAAGCTGACAGACAAAGCCTGTACCTTATCAGGTCGGGCGGTTTCCTTTGTGTTCTGTGTCACCTGCGACAGTGTATTCCCTTTGTTCCAACCAGCATTTTTAAGATGTTAGAAAGGGAAAATGACTAAATCTTTCTATGATATTACACTGGTAGATGAGATCCTGTGGTACTGTGCAATATCCAACTGCTGTAAGCCGCGGTCGATCTTTAGTTAAAGCCGGTCTCAAGGCTTTAAATACTTGTCTCACAGCGGAAAATTACTACTAACGTCTCCAAACCTCCTAATCTATACCGGACTATAAAGGAATGTACCTGGCCAGAGGAGTTAGCCGGCAATAAAGGTTGCCAGCAATTCTACCGTTAATTTTTCTATTCACCAATACCATTTGGAATATAATTGCGTTTTAATTGCTTTTAATTTAATGTTTTAAGGCCAGTCTCATCACACTTAACAGGCAAAGCAATATACAGCTTTCAGCCCGATTTACACGTGGCAAAAAATATCTAAGTTAAAGGAAAACCTAAAATGTCGACCAAAAGATAAAAACAAAAGACTCCATCGGTGAAATTAACGGAGACATCCGGAAAGCCGTTCTTCATTTTGCAAACTAGTCATTTGCATACTGATTAAGGGACGAATAGAATTACCCGACAGCCTCTATCCGGCCAAGCATTGCGTCATTACCTGTAACGGGTTCGTTATCACAAGAACGGGGGTAGACTAAGAGTGTCGTGTGTAGGCTACATGTATTTTAGCGCCAACCAGAAATGTCGGAAATGTATAATTGCACGAGATCAATTAAACGTTATAATTAAATAAAATAATTCCACGCATATGTTGAAAATGAATTTTACGTGCAAAATTACACGCATATGTTGAAAAGGAGAAGTAAATTTCAATCACATGAATATTACTTCAATTAGAATATGTCAGTTTTTATGGTGCAAATTATATATTGCCCCTTTGAGACAATTAATACGGTCGGCTCTGCTACAAACTTAAAACTTGGCGACCTTCATTTGAAGGTCGTAGACTGGGTGGTGGCACGTTTCAGACATTTTGCCCAGGGACGACATGTACTCGACATGGAATAAAAAGAAACATGAGTGTGTGTTTGTTCTTCAAAACAAACCAAACGATTAAAATGACATAATTTTACATTAAATGAAACTTCTTCCAAGGTTCTTAGAGTGCTAGACAGTGAAATGTATATTTCCTTAAAAAAACATTGTTTTCAAACGCGTTTCGTGCGTTATTTTCCAAATACAGTAACACCGTTCTTAGTCATCGTATCAACATAATGGACCAGTCCAACACTACCATGACCGACAGCTTCCCGAGGTTCACCCGAGCCCTGGTTCGGCAAGTTCCGGAGTCCATTCGTGAACACTCGGAAGCCGTCGAAACCTACAAGAGAGACCGATACTACCGAGGATATGAATTTGAGAGAATAGATATTGCTAAAGCCCGAGAAGAGCACGAGCGGTACACGCAGACCCTGCGGGACCTGGGGCTGGAGGTGACCGTCCTACCGGCGGACGAGTCCACTCCGGACTGTCCGTTTGTGGAGGACACCTGTGTGGTGGTCGGGAACAGAGCGCTGGTGACCAGGCCATGGGGAGGACCTAGGAGAAGGGAGGTCAGTTCTACAGTCCTGTCCAGACTATGCAGGATGTAAAAAACAACTAATAAATCGGTGGATTTACCAAATAATAGGTAGCCAAGAAATGAAATAAAAGGAAAAGTCATTCCTTTAAGTACCAGAATTAATATTAACCAAGGATTGAGGTGTTAAAAAAAACTCATTCGTTCCTAGAACTATCGCAAAGTGAAACTCGCTGTCACGAAGTACAATAGGGGCATCATCATTAGATAGCTTTAAACAATATTTAGAGTTAGATGTTCAAGGGTTAGGAAAGATCTGTTTGGAGATAACCTGCTTTACAAATACAGATGCAGATAAAACCACACAAAGATATCACAAAAATACCACACATATGAAATAGAAGCTAAGTAGTTAATATTAAACATGTCTTTTTTGTTGTTGTTTTCCTAAGCTTGACTGTGTGGAGACGTGTCTGAAAAGCCTTGGACTGGAAGTGCACAGGATTCATGATGAGAAGGCGAAACTGGAGGGGGGTGATGTCGTCTTCACAGGTTTGTTACCTCCTTGAACGGAGGTTATGTTTTCAGTGTGATTGTGCGTGGATCTTCTTTTCTTTCACATGAGTTTTCTTGTCATTTTTGGTACAGAGGGTGTACAAGTTGCTTGTTGTTTGAGTTGTAACAGTGGGGGGTTAATAGGCCTACCAACAGATCGGGCAAACGGGTCTAGACCTTTTAGCGGAGAGGTTAGAGTGTCTGACTGGGGCCCGGGAGGTCGTGGGTTCGAACCCCGGCCCGGGACCAGTGGAGTTTTTACTGCCTCCTGTTTCTTACAGTGGTTCCCACACCAGCCCTGGTAGTTCTGGCAAAGAATGCCGCTCCAGGGATGTCGAATTCGGAAGATTCGAGGACGAATCTTGAAAAGAAAAGGGGGAGTAGTGTAATAGTGGGGGGTTTATACCAACAGATCGGGCAAACGGGTCTAGACCTTTTAGCGGAGAGGTTAGAGTGTCTGACTGGGGCCCGGGAGGTCGTGGGTTCGAACCCCGCCCGTGACCAGTGGGTTTTTACAGTCTCCTCCTGTTTCTTACAGAGTTTTAAGGACAGAGAACATTTAAAAATGTTCTAAGGACAGAGAACATTTAAAAATGTTTTAAGGACAGAGAACATTTAAAAATGTTCTCTGTCCTTAGGAAAGGAGTTCTTCGTCGCCGCATCAGAATGTACCAACAAAGCTGGCCGAAAAGCCCTGGCCAACACGTTCCCAGAGTACCCTGTCCACACCATCCCAGTCTTGTGGCCAGAGTTCCATCTGAAAGGCGTGGCGTGCTGTGCGGGACCGGGCGTCATGGTGCTGGGGAAGAACAAGGATGGCAAGAGGGCATGGAAGGTAGAGTGGGAGAATATATTTTCAGATTTATAATGTGTTCACCGAAGGAAAACACATTATTTTTGCTCAGTTTCCTCTTCTTCTTCTTATAAATAAAATAATAATTGTTTATTGATTGATCGATGAGTACAATCGCTAGCACGTGGCAGCGCAACTAAAAAGTAGCTCTGAATTGCATGCTAGTGTTTAAAAAAAGAGAGTCAAATATTGCACAGTTACGAGTAACAAATAGACAACTAAACAAGTGAGTACTTCACAGTTAACATATAGGCAACTAAAAAAGTGCATAAAATGAACTTAACAATATTCACAATATCAACCAATATTCTTCCGTCCCAAACAATTACTTAAGCTTCTGACATGGCCAATGACCTGATTTGTTGACGTCTCTCACCATGGTAACTGGTGTTGGTTTACATAATGTTGCAATTTTATAGTAGGAGGGATTTATACTCCTGTCTGACCATACATATATATATATATACGCCCCCCGCCCCGGTTAGGAGAAGGTTGGTATGCCCTGATGTAGATGACTCCTTGAACTTCTCTCAGAAAACTTTACCTACAGTTTAATTCTGAGACGAACTTCCATACTATTTTGAAAAGCTTCTAATGTACAGAGCGTATTTCCTGATACATTTTGCAGAAGATTCTGGAAAAAAGTGAGTTCACGTATGAACCTGTGTGGGTGCCTGACAATACTGCTGTGGACTGTATTCACGTCAACGGAAACGTCATTCACTGTACTGAAAAGCAGGGACCAAAAAGCATGAAGGTAAACAACATATTTGCTTGTTTGTTTGTTTGCTTGCTTTGTTAGGTTCTATTAGTGTTACATAAATTTTACAATATAATTTTTGGAGCCAAGCAAAGCAAGCAAAAAACCATGTGGCTAATACAAGTACGAGACAAGCGTTTATTAGACTTCCATCTTGGTGATTTGTAGTGGATCACCAACTTCCATATGTAGCAGTTATTTAGATTACCGGGACATGTCTCTACTTTTTTTTCGATATTTGTGGTGTTTTTTAACATGTGTGGGGCGTGGCTGCCCCCAAACATATGATTGAATCTCCATTTAACGTCCTAGTTGAGGGACGTCCATAAACAAATTTAGGTTCTTATTTTAAACTTTGTAAAGTGTGGAAATTCGTGTAAATTGTATTTCTAAAGGGCACAACATTGAGGCATGTTAGTGGATTTTGAACCAAGGACTCACTGGGTCTGGATTTGAACTTAGGATCCGGACCTGTTGGTTCTGGGCTAAACACGTATCTATAAACGCTACACGATCCCAACAGTTCCTGAACCAAATAATGACAGTCCTGACATGCCACCGAAATTGTGCCCTTGGGAAAGGCACTTAACACGATTTTCCTCACTTGACTCAAGTGAAAATGAGTACGTCCTGTTCCGTATTTGTCCTCTGCGTTGGTGACGATATAAAAAAGTTGATAACTTGAGTGTGCCGTCACCATGTCCAGTCATGAAATGTTGGAATAAAAAAAAGACATGTACTTGGCTACTTTTCGTAAGAATGTTGATGGGAAATGCGACGAAAACTTAAATGCACAATGTAGCAGGAGGTCGACTCTACTGTAAGAGGATAAAATGTTCTTTTCTTATTCTTGATCTTGAGTATTAATCAAGCCTTTGTTCTATCTGTTGCTCCAGGTGTTTGAGGAGAAACTCTCTTGCTTCAACCGGGTGCCATGTTCTATCGGTGAGCTGGGGAAGGTGGACGCAGCCTTGTCGTGTTGTTCTGTCCTTTTCTAGAATCCCGGTCTGGAACGCCGATCGTTCTAGGATCGCAAACTGAAAGCACTCTTGTGATAGAAAAAGAAGAGCTTTATTTCGCAACAGATGTAGCGGGTACAACGTATGACAAAATATACATAGCTGGTGATGCTAACATACATGCATACTTGGTGATGCTAAGAAGATCTAACAGTTCTACTAACTGTACTAAGGAATCTGGTCTACTTTCATAAACTATGTATAACAATTTGATAAAGAGACACTAATCATACTAATCTAACTCTGTTGATAGTAATATATTGTGTCAGGAATTTATTACATTTTCTCATTTGTCAGCGAATTGTGTATAAATTGGCATATGCATATTGGATATATTGACAGGACATGATAGTAGCATATTGAATATCTTTGTCTTTGTATGGGGTAGTGTTATATCGGTCTTTCATGTAACATATTGTAACAATTTTTGTCGGTTTTCATCATAAGTAGGGCAATCTATTATAAAATGTAATTCGTTTTCAACGCCTTTATGACACATGGGACACAGTCTCCTATTGGCTTTAGTATTACAGACATTTAAGTATACAGAACGTCTTTCCTGGTAGCGGGTTATGTCACAAATTGTTCGGCATGAAAATTGTACAAATTGAAAGCAATTTTATACAAGTGGGAAAAAGCGCAATACTAACAAAAAAATCAAAGCCGGTAGTTTTATATCAAAAGATTATAATACCCCGGAAGATTTTTTTAGATATAAATATATCGTATATATTATCCATTTTTGTATTTCGAATAATGTATTAGCCATCGGAACTCACTAACTCAGCTATACTTAATTTTGTTGAAGTAGGAAAATTAGTTTTTGTCAGGGTCGGAACAATTCTGAAGTATAGTCAGTGATTTCACAATAAAAATACAATGAAATTTAATACTACTTTAATTTAACTTAATACTTACTTAAAATTTATATTCAATTACCAACGCTTCCTTTTTACCACTTTAAACTTTTACAATTAAACTTTTAAAACTTTTAAATTGAACTTTTAAACTTTTACAATTAAACTTTTAAACTTTTACAATTAAACTTTTAAACTTTTACAATTAAACTTTTAAAACTTTAAATCACACTTTCGAACTTTTACAATTTTATTAAAATACTTTTATATGACATTAATTAAAAATTGTATTGATATGATACACAGACTACAAGTTACACAAGCATATGGATATCATTATTGTAGCTGCTGATAAGTTCTAATGCAGTGTACAAAATACTTTTTGAACCATGTTGAAAAATTAGGTTGCCCATCAGAATTTTAGGTTGCCCCACTTATAAGTTACTACTTTCCTCAAATTAAGTAATGTTACATACATAAGACTTTGACAATATTTCTAACACTAGCCTTTAAATTAAGTTAACTGACACTAGTAATAGCCAATGCATTAACACCTAAAATCAAAAAGTATCTGCCGGATACAGTGGTGCAAGCCAAGTGGGCATGATTTGGGGGGGGGGCATTCTTAAAATTCAGGTTGCCCCAAGTAAAATTTGGTTGCCCGAGGCAACTGGGCAACCAGGTATTTTGTACGCTGTAATGTGATTAGTCTCAGATTGTCCAGTGTTTACTGTCAGACTGTTGTCCAGATTATGGCTTTAGTAGTAAAGATGGCTGTCCTAAAGCACAGTCTGGTTGGTGAAGGAAGCAGAGTTGAGTGGCCATTTTTCGCCCATCCTGGAAAAAAAATGAAGGCATTTCAGTAAAACATTAAATTACAACAAATAGGGAATGAATTTTTTGGAATAAGTGGTTTGTAATAGTGGTAATGCTATACTGATGCTGTAACATTACAAACCACATGTTCCATGTTGAAAAGAACACTAAAACTTCATTCTCTATTTGTTGTCAGATTCGACCCATAGTAATGTAATTAATGTTGAGCATAAAATGCCCAAACACCTCAAAACACACTGAAAAGCAAACTGTTTAATGTCACTAGCATCTTTCCGATGCCTTCCTGTCCTATGCAAATGAGGTTTAGACCCCTGTTTTTGCAATGCATTCTGGGTATGGCAAACTGGTGAATACCATCCCCACTGTTAGAAATATCCATCTGCAGTCTGCATTCTCCATTTTCAATATTGCAGAAGTTAAGCAATCTGCAATGTTGCAGACTTTAAAAATCAGGATTAGATTAAATCAGATTACATTAAAGTAATTCAATTAACATTGAGCATAAAATGCCCCAACACCTCAAAACACACTGAAAAACAAGCTGTTTAACGTCACCAGGATCATTCATGCCTTCCTGTCCTATGCAAATGAGGTTTAGACCCCTGTTTTCGCAATGCATTCTGGGGATGGGAAACGGGTTGAGGAAGTGTGACTGACCAGAGAGCCCAGCGGGTGTGGTCGCTGACCTCTGCCCCAGAGTTGGGATGTACCAGGATGTCCTGGTCACCTCGGTTCTGCATCACCCAGGGTACAGCTGCACAGACACACAATCAGGGGTAAAACATGCTGGGCTCGACATTCATTTTGGGTACTAGCAATAGGTGCACTGGTGCACCCAACCTAAAAATTGGGTGCACAAAAATTGTTTTGGGTGCACCATATAGGTAGAATGTCAGCAAAAACTACTAAGATTCATTTCTAAATATATGTACTATATAACAATCATCATGATATCATTATTATTTTATTATTTTTTTACCCTTACATATACAGTGTAAGTTCCCAATTCTCCTTCTTAGATTACATATCATTGCAAGCTCATTATGATATTGGGGCTGACCAATGGGAAAGCTGCTAGAAGTGTATAAAATATAGCTTTCGGAAAACACATGAGAAACTATACATACTTTTTGCATACCACTCCAGGGGGACAAAGATTGCCCAGTTTGCAGACACGAATGGGTCAGTGGGTCCAGTGTTAGTGTAGTCAACATCTGAAAACACAGGGAGACAAGACTGTGGAATAAGTGATGGATAAAGGACTTGAGAAATAAATGTTCATTTAATTGAATGAAATGAATGTTTATCTACCATTACTTACAAAAAATAAGGCCGCACAATGTTGGTTCTTGAATTTGCCTGCTTCAATTTTGTTTTGATTTGCAAAAGAAAAAAATTCAGGCTCTGAATCAACTCTTAAATGCTCATACACACACACACTCACACACCCACACACACCAACACACCCTCATACCCCAAGCATACTAACACACACACACACACACACACACACCACACACACACACACACACACACACACACACACACACACACACACACACACACACACACA